AAGACAGGGTCTCACTATGTACTTGAGACTGACTTGGAACTCACTATGTAGCCCAGGCTGGTCTCAACACACAGTGATCCTCCAGCCTCAGCTTCCCAAGTGCTGGGATTACAGGCCTGTGCCACCACACCCAGCGATTATGTCCCATTTAAAAGTGGAGGTGAATCAGAAGTAATATAAAATTGAACATCTAAACTTCTGTTAAGGTTAGTTTCACAATAAAGTTCCAGTAAACCAGACCTTCTGTTCCTAGGCTACAACTTCCTACCTACTAGAATTCATGTTCAGAGGAAACTGGAGATATTTATATTTAATGGTTACTAAGGAACTGGTCCTAGAAAGGAAGCCCATTAGGAGTGGAGATTTGGGACCTTACCGAATTTCATTAGGTCTCTCTTCTTCCTCATATCTTTTTTTGTCTTTCCTTCGGATTATCAGCCACACCAAGAGGAATATCAGCAGGGCTCCAGCCACTATGCCTGTCACTGCTCCTGCAACCATGCCGATGCTTTGTACATCTGTTTTCTCAGAAGCAGAAGCACAAGTGAAACCAAACATAAGCTAAGAAATATGTGAATTCAAAAACTATAAGTCCTGGATAGAATCAGTATTTCTAGATCTGTTTTCCAAAGTAGCACCCCATTACCTTCTTTTGACTGTCCCTTTTGATGTTTTTGCAGTTGTAGTTATTGAACCACAGATGTAGCTGTTGAATCACAGGCCTCATTAACAATTTGTCAAAATTTTAGTAAGACTGGGTTTATTCAGATGATAAAATTAGTGTATCAGGTTTGAAGATTGTAAACCTTTATAAGGGGCAACATTTAGGTAATCCTTTGGCTCTGCAAACTTCCCTGATTTCTCTTATTTACCTCTTCCAGTGAAAAAAAAGAAAATACTTACAATGTTAGACTCTGGGATTATGACATTGTTACCTGTGGTTCCTTTAAATTGAGAAGTTGAGGTAACTGATTTACATATTAATAACAGTAATTTGTACACCAAATATTTATTAGGTGCTTACTGAAGGCCAGGCACAGTTCTGGTCAAATCCATTTTGGACTAGTTTTAACATCTTACTAGCTTACCCTTTAAGTAATGAAATAGTCTTGTTGAGTTTTGTGATGCTGCGGATTAAACCCCAGACTTGATGCATGCTAGACAAGCACCCACATTTTTAAAAAGTTTTTTTTGGTGGTGCTGAGGGATCAGACTGAGATACTGTACCACTGAGCCATATCCCAGTCTCAAAGTACATGTATTTAGGAGGCTAGTTAATCCCCATGTTTGTCAGAAGAGTCAGACACAATTGTTGAATGGTCCCTGAAACTGCTGAATTTATTTTGGTAATAGCTATGTCCTTCTAGAAATAAAGACTTTGGCTTTGACCTTACATTTGCTTGTGATTAAAACATCTTACACTAACAACACACACATAAAACCCAAATACTGAGACAGAAAACATCTCTGGATACTTACACTGTACTGTCACTCGTACCACACAACTTTCTTTTCCAGCCTCATTGCCAGCTGTGCATTGGTAGAGCCCAGAAAAGGACATCGTAAGATTCTGCAGCAGAACTCGACCAGGGTTATTGAAGTCTATATAAGTAGAATGACAATAAATCCCCTTAGTAACAGTTCATTGTACTGTATCATTTACCTAAATTTCTGTGATAGTTTGTAAGAATGAGGTGATAGAACATGAAAAACAAATATTTTTATATTGTACATCCTCAAAAGTCACAAAAGATTGTGAATATTTAAGGGATAGTAAATAAGATAATTAGATATCATGATTTTTGTAATACATTTCATCCTAATCTTTTTTTGGTACTGGGGAATCAAACTTGTGCTTGCAGGGTAGATGATGGCTTTTAAATGCCCTTTCAAGAAAGGTTTTTTTTTTTCCTATCCTAGTTTGCAGATGGAAGGAAAAAAACTCAAAGAGGTTCAACAGTATATTCAAGGTCATGTAGGGAGTTGCTGAACAAGTAGATTTGGAATTCATGGATACAGTAGTATCTTGTTGGCCCATTAGAATGGTAGGAAGATGACTCACCAATTGTAGCTTTGGGAGGCAAATGTTCATCCTCTCCCTCCTTCTCTCTGATTCGCTGCCAGTAATACATAATGGGCTTTGTGCCAGAAGATGACTCACACTGCAGAGTCAGGTCACTTCCTTCTGTCAGCTCTCCTTCCAGCTCACACTTGGGCTTGGATGGTCTCACTGGGGGAAGAAATGTGTAATGATTCAAAGCTTCTCCAAACACCAGATCCAGTGGGAAAATAGTTCTATTGAGCTGTTTCTCCAGCTGCCTCTTATGCTTGACTTTGGAGTCAGGATTCAACCAGCCATGCTTTATCCCCTCAGCCCATCCTGTTTCTTACATACACAATTCTAGCTGCCACCAGTGATCCTGTTGTAATTTTCAGCAGCTGTTCCAGAAACTCCCAGTGCACCTCTCAGTGTGGGAATACTCTCAAAGAAGAAACGCTGTTATTTATTGGAAAGTTTAGGAAAGCTACGCATGATTTTATTAATACCAAAACATGGATAAAATATATTAACTTGGAAGTAATTAAGTATAATTTGGTAGATTTTGTTGGCAAAACCAGACCAAAACAAAAACAAATGGGATCCAGGCATGGTGGAACATGTTGCAATCCCAACACTAGGAGGCTGATGCAGGAAGATTGCAAATTCAAGCGCTGCCTGGGGAACTTGGTGAGACCTTGTCTCAAAAAAAAAAGGGTCAGGGATATAGCTCAGTATGAAGGTCCTGGGAGGGGAATGGTGGCTGGGAATGTAGCTCAATAAGAAGGCCCGGGTTCAATCCCTAGTATCAAAGAAAATTTAAAAAGCACTTGACTTATGCTTGGGAGATTTAAATTAAATATAAGTGGCTGAGGGTGGTAAAGTGCTTAGCATATATAAGGCCCTGGATCCACTCCCAACACCATAAAAAAGTGTGTGTGTGTGTGTGTGTGTGCCATTCAAATGTTAGAGGTTATTTAAATTTTGTAATGGACTGCTATGGAAAATTGTGATTCTTTTTTTATGGTAATTGAAAGAACATAAATACTTCTTTGCAGGGATCTGGACTAGGTAACTTCTAAATGTATAATACAAAGTACAGAACACAAAGTTTTTCAGCACCATGATGCATTTGACACTCCCTCCCAAAGACCTTAGGATGTAGGTGTTTACCTTGGCACCCTGCCTTACCTAAGACTTTTAAGATGACATAACTCCACATGTAGCGCCCTGAGTTCTTCACCTTGCATGTGTACCGACCCTCATCACTGGGCTTCAAAGGCTCAATCTGCAGGGAGGCGTCTCCTGCCAGGAAATTGGAAGCAAAGGCCACTCGGCCTTTCTGTTCCTCAGAGAAATTAGTGTAGACACGACGACTGGAGTAAGTGATTACCTGTGGGACAGACCAAGGCAGGATCAAGCAGTGTGGTTCCAGCCTTCCTGTCCTGCTGAAGTAAGATGAGGAAAGGAAATACTCCCAAGGGCATAAAGTAGTCAAGTTTAGGTCTGATTTTAAAGGGTCTAAGAGACCTCTATTCTAAAAAAAAAAGCACAATAAAGGCTGGGGATTCAGCTCAGCGGTTCAGTGGCCTGCCTTGCAAGCGCAAGGACCCAAGTTCAATCCCCGGTACCAAAAATAAATCACAATACATTTCTCCTTCCAAGAATAATACCTTTTACCATATAGTATTTAATTAAAAAGTACTAATTATTTCATTGGGTGCCCAGAAACACTCCATTTTATGTGTTAGGAGTATGAATTATATACTAAAGTTCACACATTAAGTGAAGGAAATGACGAAAGTTTGCAAGTGTACAGCAATACACATATTAAACAGAATATTTCTGAAAGGGTACATAACAGATGGAGTAAAGCACTCTACCACTGAGCTTCTTAGCAGCCCTGTTTCAAAATTTTGAGATAGGACTTTGCTAAATTTCCCTGACTGGTTTCAAACTTTTGATGCTCCTGTCTGAGCCTCCTGAGTAGTAGAATTACAGGCGTTCACCACTGCCTGGCTTTATCTTTTGTATTTTCTACCATTTCCTATGGCCTCTTTACACTACACTCCTTATGTGAGGTCTTTTTAGATGCCATCTAGTTCATTTCTCAACACAGTTTTCCAAGTAGTCGTATTTTTCCCTAAGTTGCTATTATCCCCATTTCACAGACAGGTGGCAGAACAAGATTTATTTGAATAGAAATCTTCTAAAAACATTGAAGTCATTGTTCTTTTGTACCACATTTACCTCTGTCTCTCTTTTACCTCTTGTGTTAATTTAACTGCTCATGAACTGTACTCCCAGGAAGTTTAGAAATGGAGAAAAAAAAGTGAAACTGAAAAAAAATCAATCTTTTGATTTTACAAAAGTTGAGAGTCTGAATGAAGGGAATGGAGATGTTAAGAAGTAAAAGTTAATGGTTAAGGGCCGGAAATTTAGCTCAGTGGTGCTGCACCTGCCTCAAACTACAAGGTCCTGAGTTCAATCCCCAGTACCCCCCCAAAAAAAGTTAATGGTTAAAATTAGGTATGATACTGAGGGCTTTATTGTTTGTTTTTCCTTTTTGGGGGTTACTGCAAATTAGTAATTATAAATTAGGTGGAAGAAATATAAATACATGTGTTAATGCCTTTGTTTTCCTATTTATGGAGACCAAAGTTTAGATTACCCCAGCAGAAAAAAAAAAAATCTTGATTTTTAGTGAATTTTTGTTTGCTTGCATGACAGCATCTAGTTCTTTAAATTTTCTCTGGATTCTCTTAGTTGAACACTTCCGTTAGTCACAAAATACCATCCTAATCTGGTCCCCAAATCTTCAATCATGTAACTTTAGCTTTATTCTTAAACACATTAAACTCATTTGATTGAAACATCAGTAAACATGGGGTAAATGCTTATATCAGGCCTGGAAGAAGCCATTGAGATGAATCTCCCTTCTTGTCTCAAGTAATTTATAATCTGGTGGGATTATCAGAAAAATATAAACAGAAAAAAGGAGGGCCAGGATTTATCTCAGTGATGCCCGGCCTGCCTGGCAAGTAAAAGGTCCTGAGTTTGATTCCTGTACCAAAAAAAAAAAAAAAAAAAAAAAAAAAAAAAAAAGAAAAGAAAAAGAAAAGAGGAATGATTTACTTAATTTTTTTTTAGGAGGAAATGGGACTGTATTTATTTAATAAATTGTTTTCTCATTGAGTTTATTGGTACTTTTTAAGTATATAGTACAGTTACATTTATCATTGGGAACTTGTGCCTTTACATGACAGATCTTGGTTCTCATTTTCTCCCCATACCCCTTCCCTCCCTTCATGTGACGCCTCCACCCTCCCCTATTTACAAAGACTTTGTTTCCATTTTTTCCTTTTCTCATATTTTTTCTTTTCCCTTATTTCCTTTCTCTTACTCTTTCTACTTCCCCTACACCTTTAGCCCTTCCTATTTCACATTGTCAGTTATACAATTTGGATCTTATTATACTTTTAGTTTTTCACACCAGAGAAACTATTCAGTATTTACACATGTGTGTCTTATTTATTTCACTTAAGAGTATGGCCTCAATATGTATCCATTTTCCTACGAATTACTCTAGTTTCTCCTTTTTTAAAAATTTAAATTGAATTTATTGGTACATTCTAGGTAGACAGTACAGTTACATTCAGTTTCTCCTTCTTTATGGCTGAGTAGTACTCCATTTTATAGAAAAAACACATCTTCTTGTCTCCCACTGATGGGCAATTGGGCTGTTTCCAAGTTTCAGCTATTACAAACTGTGCTGCTATAAACATGGGTGTGCATATATTACTGTGGTATGATTCTTTTGGAAAGATACCTAGCAGAAGTATAGCTGGGTTAAATGGAACCTCTAGTTCTAGTTCTTTGAGGTATCTTCATATTGATTTCCACAGTGGTTGCACCAGACTGCACTCCCACCAACAATGGAGAAGGCTTCCTTTTTCCCCACAGCCCTGCCAACACTTGTTATTGATTAATTTTTTAATAGCAGCCATTCTTTCTGGAGTGAGGTGTGTTCTCAGTGTTGTTATTTTCATCTGCATCTCTCAGATGACCAGTTATGTTGAACATTTTTTCATATATTTCATATATTTATATTAATATATTTCATATATTTATTTGCCACTTTTCTTTGAGAAATGTCTGTTCATTTCAGATGTCCAGTTTTGAATTGGGTCTTTATATTTGAGGGGCCTGATACTTTTGAGTTCTTTATATATTCTAGATAATAGTCTTTTGAGGAGCAGCTGGTAAAATTTTTTTCCTACATTGTAGGTTGTCTCTTAGCTCTGTTGATGGTTTCTTTTGCAGTGCAGAAGCTTTTTAATAAGATGAGATCCCAGCTGGCCGTGATGGCACACGCCTGTAATCCCAGCACTCGGGAGACTGAGGCAGGAGGATCACTGAGTTCGAGACCAGCCTGGGCTACACCTGAGTTCCAGGTCAGTCTCACCACTACATAGTGAGACCCTGTCTCAAAAAAACAAAAAAAAAACAACAACAAAAAAAGGATGAGATCCCAATTGTTGATTCTTTGTGCTAGTTTCTGTGCTACTGAGGATTTGTATATTAAAGTCTTTTCCTATGCCAATGTCTTCAAGAGTTCTGCCTAATTAATCTTCCAGCAAGTTTAGTGTTTCTTTTTTTATATTTAGATCGTTAATCCACTTGGATTTTAGTTTAGTGCATGATGAAAGATAAGGGTCTAGTTTTAATCTTTGGCAGGTTGAAATCCAGTTTTTCCAACAGAATAAAGAGGCTATCTTTCCTCCACAGAGGATGGTTGTATCCTTTGTCAAAGATGAGGTAGCTGAGTACGTCTGGAGTTGTTTCTGTATCTTCTAATCTATTCCACTGATCCTCAGGTCTTTTTCTTTGCCAATACTATGCTGTTTTGATCAGGGGGAATGTAATAGAAAAGTTGGTGGTATCTGCATCAGGCTTTGAACAATGAGCCAACTAAGAGAGGAGGGGAAATAGGAAAACAAGGGCTGGAAAGAGCACTCCAGATGCATAAAGCAGTACTAAAAAGGTAGCAAGCATATAGGAGTCTCATGAGCACAGTCTTGGCTACAGCTGTTCCAGCTGTTTCACTCTAAGCCCTTAAACCTTCCTCAGTCACAGAGGCAAGAGGATCGCAAGTTCAAGCCTGGCCTGAACAACTTAATGACTTAGCAAGATCCTGTTTTAAAAAGTAAAAAGGATGCCGGGCGTAGTGGTGCACCCCTGTAATCCCAGCACTCAGGAGGCTGAGGGCAGGAGGATTGCTGTGAGTTCCAGACCAGTCTGGGCTACATAGTGAGTTCCAGGTCAGTCTCACTACGTAGTGAGACCCTGTCTCATAAAAAAAAAAAAAAAAAAAAAAAAAAAGCAAAAAGGGCTGCAGATGTAGCTCATTGTGAAGGGCCTGGGTTCAATCCCCAACAACAACTACAACAACAGTTCTTTCCCCTTCTGTAAATATTTTTCCTCAGCAGATATTTACTGAGCTCTTGTGTCAGGCACTGTGCTTATCATTGCTGAGAAAACAAGTGGGAATAGGACTAGATTCTCACACTGAGGAGTTCATAGTCTGAAGAGCTTGGTCTTGTGGGGAAAGGGGGAATAGAGAAAAGTAAGAGAATATTAAACACTGTAACTGAGCTAAAACATGTTCATTCAATATTACCCTCATTTAAAATACCACCACTGCTGTGACAATTCTTATATCCTTGTCTCTCTCCTCAACATATTTCTGAGCTCCAGTAAGTGATAAAAAAAATTTTTTTGCCTCTGTTTTTTTGAGCTGGGACATTGCTTTGCTGCTCAGGCTGGTCTTGAACGCTTGGCCTTAAGAGAGCCTTCTGCCTCAGCTTCCTCAGTTGCTGGAACTTCAGATATGTGCCACTATGCATAGTGTGAATTCTAGTTTCATGTCTCCAGTGCCTGGCTGTCTACTCCAATTTATCCTACACACCACTGTCAAGTTAATCTTATTCATATAAAACACATAACTCTTTTCTATCTTAAAAATATTAATGGCTCCCCAACACCTCTTGAGTGATGACCAGACTCAGATGAGGGTCCTTAAGATGACCTCTGAGTTACCATCACACTTCCTCAGACACTTTGTGAACCTGGCTGCAATCAGTCTGACCTCATTTCCCTTTTGTTAGCATGAGCTGTGCTTTCTGTGTTTTTGTAGGCCATTGTTCACTACATTTTCCCACCTTTCTCTGTCCTTTGCCTAAAGAAATCCTATTCATTCTTTTTAAGTCCAAAATCAGTGATACCTTCTCATGAAACCTTTCTAATGTGACACTCAGACTGAGATTCTGAGTCTTATCCATACCATTTCTTTGCAACATTTCTTTAGGGAGGTGAAAGGACTAGTGATTGAAC